TGGGGTATGTAGCTGAATACAAACACAAACGTACACAGCCTACGAGTGACTGAGTTAACATCACATCTTGAATTCTATACTTTATAAATGTAATCCTGTTTCCCACCAGCAGAGGTCAGTGTCTTCTCACTTAAACCTGTTATCGTTTCACATCTGAAGACAATCCACTGATCTAATCTCCCTTTGAATAATTACATAGATTTCGTGACATGAGCTGTATCATCATTGAAACAAGACAATGACAGTGTACTGTGTCTATAGTGTGTGAAAGACACCTGCTGCTTATCTCACTTTTGTGGTGAGGACTACATTTCATTTTTGTTACATCAAAGCTTCATATAACAAAAACAACAACTCATCATTCATATTTATGTTTAACTCTGCACGATATAATCTGCACTTTATTCATCGCTTTATCTTTTCCAGCAGAATATGCCACCAATGTCATACCATATTCTTCATTTGTTTAAATTTCTGCCTTTTGTCTTGCCTTGTTGAGTAAACTTCCACAGCCACTGAAATACAATATTACAGAAACTATATTAATAAACAGTATTGTATTTCCATAAAAGTGATATTATTAATGGTACATGCTGTATAGTTTTAAGGGTTTACGTACATTTTTAGGTGCTGTTTTATAGATGTAAAAAATATACTTATCATTTTGGAATCCAAATTATTTAGTTGAGTACTTTTGTGTTTACTTGGACAATACAGTTTAGTCTTATTTTTTTTAATCAAAAACATTATACACTATATACACTGTTAGGTATGTAAACTTGGCCACAGTACTTTCTTGTATATTGTGTGCAGTAGGTTTTTAGCTGGGAGTGGCTCTATGTTTCACTATCTTTCTTGTCTTTCGAACCTGGAGCCTTGAGGTTTCATTTAGTATTAGACTCTATGTGACACCTGCATGTTTATCTCAAATTTGTGTCGAGAATCAAATTTCATGTTTTTGAGTGAATGCCAAGTTCTTGTTAAACATTTGTGTTTCCCTGTATCATTGTGCTCGACTTGTAGCGCAGTAAAAAACAGACTCTGAATCTTCAAACGTCAGATTATGTAAGTGCAGGAAGCATTCAAACACATTTGGTCTATTTAAAATAAACCTGGATTTGTGCTGAGTGCTCTCAAAAGTGGCTGTATCTTTTCCAGCAGAATATGCCACCAATGTCATGCCCTCTGAAGCACTCTGTTTATACCAGTACATGTAATGGTGGTCTTTGTGATGATGAGAGCAATAAAAAGATGCAATAAAATCATGATAGTTCAGCACAAATGGAAGTTGTTTGATATGCACAGCAAGGCAGAAATATGAAAAACAAAAGACATACATTAAAATACAACTGGTACATTACAATGGTAAATCTTGAAATAGTTTTTCTTACTAATTTGAATTAAAAGCTGCAGAAGTCTTAATACTGTAGTAGCCATAGTTACATGTTATTACCAGCACTCAACAGATATCAAATGCACTACTGTAAATTGTGTTGTGGTATACACTCCTCCTCTATGAGCTGGTTTTATACACAACAACAGTGCCTCCTACTGGTGACAAAGCTCAACTTATAACAGTTTTGTCATTTCAATTTCGCAGCTCAAGAAATTAGCTCCATATTATTAATTTGTTTAAATTGAAATTTAACTTTTTAAAACTCCTTATTATATATATATTATATATATATTATATATATATATATATATATATATATATATTTATTTATTTATTTATTTGGCATTCAAGCCCTGTACCAGCTCAATATATGAAAAAAATGCATATCGCCTATATTAGCTCTGATAAACACTGTCCCTTTAGTCTAGAAATGAAACCAAATGGGGTGATATTGATACCTTTAATATATCATGCTGGGGGTGTTCTACATGTATGTCTATGGAGGAATGTTCAGCGTGGTAACACAGTCCGCACATTAGCAAACACTGTCAATTTTTTTTAAGATGGTGTGAAAACTCAAGAATAAATACAAAATGGATTTAAACAACACATGTTGTAGTTCCAGCTAAGTCAGCTCTGCTGAGTTAAAACAAGGCTCAGATCAAAGGCTAATTTGAGTAATAGAGCTTCAGACAGAGCAGTGCCTCCAGTTAGCGTCACACCCACAGGGATTGTTGATGACATCAGCAATGAAGTATCAATAGTTGTGAGATAGTAATTAGTGAAACAACATTGTCGTGTGTCTAGTTGAATCCTCTCAGTTTGAACATGTGTGTTTTTGTGCGCTGAATGAGATCCAGGAGCAGGTTTTAATATCAGACTCACATTAACCACATCACTGTGTACTGGCAGCACAGAAATACATCGCAGAGTCATTGGGCTCCACATTGGAGATGATCAGAGCTCCTGTCTGCCTGTCTGTTCTCTTCATCTCAAACCTTTTCAAAAAGTCTTTCTCAAAAACAGGGTCACTTCCAATGTAGCTGTAAACAATTAACTTCATCTGTCCGTCCTGGAGTTGTTTGTACCAAAGCATGATATCCATATTATTATCATCATGGTGACAGTTGATCCGTACTTCTGTGGAGTTATTAACTATCCTGGGATGAGATGGATCAAATGTTATAGCTTCTGCCTCTGTAAATAAAAACACAGATATACATTTTAAAGTTCAAAAACAATTTCAAAATATATTGTTGTGATAAAAAATAAACATTACTTAATAAGAAAGTGAGAATGAATCCGACCACAGCAAGAGGCAACTTAATCTTATTCGACATGTTTCACAAATAACAAGAAGACTTTTCCATGTCCTGAATGTGAAATTATGCAGTTAGCTTTTGATTTGTTGAGGGGTGAGGGAGTGGCTTAAAGTGACACCCTTTAAAACTTCAGCTCACTGTCTTCCCCTCTGTGAAATCTAATCTGTCTGTAACTGAAAACTGTCTTGTCCTTATATGTCAGTATTAGTATTTGTTTTGCTTTTTAACTGTATTATATATTAATCATAACCCAAGGCAAAACAGCACTGTGTTGATGATTAAACTGTACATTTTTCTATTGATAATATTTTATTTTACCTTCCATCTCAACCTCGCAATGGACCATCATGTTGGAGCATTAGAATGATTCTGATTTAGTCCAACATTTTCACAGTTTGGTCAATGGTAAGAAAATGTTTCAAAAAGTATTCCAGCTCTCTTCTAATATTACTTTTTATAGAGTTTTAGACGGTAAATTAAATACAAATTTTACAGATGATTGATGAGAGGTGAAGTGTAACTCAATATAACCTTTTGACCATTCCAGTATGTGTGATGAAACTCAAGAGTAAGGGCGATTTTTGGTCATTTCTTGAATATTTTTAGTATAATTTTGCTGTGTTTTTGATGTGTTCCAAGTATGATTACATGGTCCATTTGAAATTATAAGAGGGACATGGTGAACTCAGCTCATACAGTGGCAGTTGAGCTCATGCATGTTTGTGTGAGGGGTATGAGTTGGGAGTGGTCTTATCCTGCATCACTGTGCCCTGGCAGTACAGAAATATGTTGCAGAGTCTGATGATTTCACATTCAAGATGCTCAGATCTTCTGTCTTATGTCTAATTTCTTTAGCACAAATTTCTCTTCAAAATCATCCTGAAGGACAAGGGACAAGCCACTGTAGCTGAAACCAATTAACTTCAACTGTCTGTCCTGAACCTGTTTGTACCAAAGTATATCCATATTATTATTGTCACGATGACATCATTCATTTCAACATTTGTGTCTTGGTTCACTATCTTTGGTGAGGATAGCTTCAGTAGCTGTAAATACACAAAAATATTGCAATTACAATATTCCAATACATATTTTTTCATGGGATTTTAACAAACTAAGAAATGCAGCATGTGCAGCTCAAAGGACACAAGAAAGGGGCTGCTGGATCATGTGAAATGAACAGTTTTCCCATATCCATGGAGACCATGCATAAGGCTAGCTAAGGAGCTAGAGCTAAGGAGCTAGCTATGGACGTTTGAGTGATTGATAGCATTTATATAGCACCTTTCAAGATACCTAAAGCGATTAACAGTTCATTATTCAGTCACTCCACACTCAGTGGTGGTAAGCTACTACTGTAGCCACAGCTGCCCTGGGGCAGACTGACGGAAGTGAGGCTGCCAATCTGTGCCATCGACCCCTCCGACCACCACCATCACTCACGCTCACACCAGTTTCATACTAGGCAATGTGGTTGAAATGTCTTGCCTAAGGACACAACGTTTTTTTGCCACTGGCGCCCCACTTTGAGATGCTACAGGCTTTTTACACCACATGTGGCAGAAGACCTTCCAGAAAAAATAATATGAGGGTATGAACCATTTCATCGCCAACCAAAACACCAGAGCAGAGTGAGAGTGAGGCCTTTCCTGTTGTGTTTAGCTGGCGCCCCCTGGAGGCTGCTGTGATACTACAGGACACAGAGAAGGGACTTTTAGCTCTCCCTCAACCTGCCCTGACACAGGATCTGCTGACCCTACCTGACCAGCCTTCCTGTTAAACTTCACTGAGACCTTTGACTGAGACACAAAGGTCACTGAAGAGTGGAAATGATGCAGCAAAACCTGAATTTCCTTCAGGATCAATAAAGTATCTCTCTAAGTTTTTCAGTTACTTCTTAATCAAACCACCTTTGAAACTGTTTCTTGTGTTTTGGTGCAGAGCCACTGGTGGTTTAAATGAGTTTTGTCAAGTAGTAATTTAGTTGAGTAGTAACTGAGTAAACTAGAGTAAACCACAGTCAATGAAATACAGTAGAACAAAAACTAAATGAACAGTTTTCTATTTCCATAAAAACAATACACATACTGTATATTTTACTTTTTTTCCCCCAAATGTAGGTACTGTTTCATAGATGTGAAAATATATTTATTAATTCAATATTAATTTCAATTAACTTTTTTTGTACATAAAAGTAAAGGTGTATCACTATAGATACAGTATTAGATGAGCAGTATTACATGTAAACTTGGTCACAGTACTTTCTTGTATGTTGTGTGCAGTAGGTTTTTAGCTGGGAGTGGCTCTATACTTCATCACTGTGATACTGGCTGCACAGAAGTACACAGCCGAGTGTGAGGGGCTTGTACTGAGCAATGTGAGAGAGCCGGTCTCCACTGAGGATCTCTCTATCTTAAACTGCTTTCCAAGTTCTTTCTCATAGTTGTCACTTCCTGCATAATAGTATCCAATCAACATCATAGACTGAGTGTCCGGCCGGTGCTGGTACCAGAGCATAACAGTGAGGGAACTGTCATCATGGCTGCACTTTATAGACACGCTAACACCTTGGTTCACTATCATGGAGGGAGACTGCTGAAATTTAACAGCCACTGCTAGATCTGTGGAGATAAAAAATATTCAAATGCAGTTGTAAAAATCGATGAAAATCCCCAATCTCTGAAAATAGTAGTTATGGCATTCTTGTATGTGCACAAAACAGAGATGAACCTGGTCTAAAAGTGGAATAAAGCATGATTCAAACAAATGTCAACTACAACTAAAATTCATAAGGTCAAGCAGGACTAAAAATATTGAATCTAAGCAAAGACTAATTAGAACTATCAAGATTAAGTTTACATGTTTGCAATCAAAGAAGAGATAAAACAAGAATTTAAAAATGCCTTAACTAAACAAAATTATATAAATTATAATTTCAAAAAGATGTGATAATCTGAGTCTTACATGAAAAATACAGACAGAATGCAGCAGCAGAAGTGAACAGAGGTGGAGACATGTTGAGAGTTGGATCATTTGGGAGGGTGCAGTTTGTTACAGTGGTTTTATTCATCATCATTTCCTGGTTCAAATGAGTTGTGTCTGGTTGAGTAAACTTCCACAGTCAATAAAATACAATAGGATTAAAACTATATTAATGCATGATCAGTATTGTATTTCCATAAAAGTGAAATGATTAAGACTTGCACACATGCTAATTTTAAAGTTTCAGTCCGATTTTTAGGTCCTGTTTTGTAGATGTAAAAACATTTATCATAGTTTCTTATATAAAAGAGGTGTGTCCATATACAGCATTAGATGAGCAGTGTTTGATGTGTAGACATGTAAACGTGGTCACAGTACTTTCTTGTATGTTGTGTGCAGTAGGTTTTTAGCTGGGAGTGGCTCTATACTTCATCACTGTGATACTGGCTGCACAGAAGTACACAGCCGAGTGTGAGGGGCTTGTACTGAGCACTGTGAGAGAGCCGGTCTTCACAGAGGATCTCTCCATCTTAAACTGCTTTTCAAGTTCTTTCTCATAGTTATCACTTCCCACAAAATTGTATCCAATCAACATCATAGACTGAGTGTCTGTCCGGTGCTGGTACCAGAGCATAACAGTGAGGGAACTGTCATCATGGTTGCACTCTATAGACACGCTAACACCTTGGTTCACTATTATCGAGGGAGACTGCTGAAATTTAACAGCCGCTGCTAGATCTGTGGAGGTAAAAAATATTCAAATGTAGCTGTAGCAATTGGTCAAAATCTCCAGTCTCTGAAAATGGTAGTTATTCTTGTATATGCAAAAAACAGAGATGAAAATGTGATTTGAACAAATGTGAAATATATGACTAAACATCAAAAAGTCAAGCAGGAGTTATAAAACTGAATCTAAGCAAAGACTAATTAGAACTATCAAGAAGAAGGGATAAAATGTGAATTTAAAATGTCTTAACTAAAGTATAATTTATAATTTCAAAAAGATGTGATAATCTGAGTCTTACATGAAAAATACAGACAGAATGCAGCAGCAGACGTGAACAGAGGTGGAGACATGTTGAGAGTTGGATCATTTGGGAGGGTTCAGTTCATTACAGTGGTTTTATTCATCATCATTTCCTGCTGAGAGCGTGTGGCTGGTGTTACACTGCCCCCAAATGGTTTAATCAATTCAAACAAGCTAAAATTATACAACACCATGTTTTTACATGCAGTCTCAAAAATACATTTTCATTTTCTGGATAATACCTAAAAAGTTACTTGTCCACCAGCTTGTTACTTGTCTGTAGGCGACTAATTTGCAGCTAAAATCCTGTTCAGTGATTTAATGTCTTTTTATAGGTCTACAGAGCAGAGCCACCTCTTCACAGATCTGATCTGTAACCTGGCCTGCTGGCATCACCTTGCCTCCAAGATGAGAAATAAGTTTAAAGTCATTGTGTGGATTTCCAGGCAAAGCAATAGGGTCTCATTGAAAACAAGAAGGTGGCAGACTGTCCACCAGAAAAGTTACATAGTGTACCTTTAACAACAGAAATGCAGAAATATCAATATATCATTAAAACCAGTTTAGAAGATCACTGCATCTTTTCTGTATTTGGATCTCCCATGCAAGTCTAAATGTTTTAAATGTGACCCACAGACTTTAATATAATCCAGAGATATATTATATAACTAACTCTAACTATTGTGTGTATGATGTGTTCAGTGTTCAGACATTTTCTTCTAGTGCGTTGGAGAAGGGGGTTTGTATGTGAAGTGTGAGGAGTGCTTGGATTACACGCATATGGCCCTGTTTTTTGACAGGTTCATTTGAGGTGAACAGCTGCTCTGTCAGATAATCTTGGTTTCGTGGTCTCCAGTTTTTGTAGAAGAACTTCACTAATGTTGATACTGTGGAATTCGTACAGCACCAAAATACTCCGCACTGTCTGTCACTTTTGCATCAGAAATGTGGAGATTGGAAAATGTCCGTGCATCCCCAGTTATATTAAACCGATCCTTAAACTGGTCCTCAACTGTTGGGCTGTTGTAGTACAGGTAGCCCACGAGTTTGAGAGTCATGTCCCCTTTAAGACGCTGGTACCACAGAATAGTGTCATGGTTGGACAAATTGTGCCTCAAATTCAGATTTATAAAGGTTTTTGGTTCATTCAACACATAAGATGGAGACTGTGTTATTTTCTGATTATCTTTGAGAAAAACCCCTATAGAAAAAAAACATAGCAAATCATTAGTTAGATATAATCAGATACACTAGAATTAGGCAACAATGTGCAGTAATGAGTTCAACAGAACCTTTGATAATGGCCGTAGCAAAGAGAAGGATGTAAAGAGATGTCTTCATGTTGAGAGTTGAACTGTGAGTGTGTGTGCACATGTGGCATGTTATATACAAGAGGTGTAAACAGGAAGTGATGCATGGTAGTAATGTTAAGTAGTCAGCCAATCACTGAGCATAATTCACAAACTAGAAATGTGCTTTGGTGATATGGTACTACAAAAAGCAGGCAGATATTTTACATTCCTTTTTACCATGTTAGAAGGACATGGGGGGTTGGAATAGATGGGTTCATATGAATGTAATAATAATGAAACAGTTTTGGCTCTCAGACAGTAATGAGGCTTTTGTGTCAAAGAACATTTTGCCAGGTTAGTGCAGGTTTGGGCTGCAGATTACTTTAAAGCAAACGTATGCTTCAAAATGGACTTTTCAGAGCTTCACCGCATCATTTACTCACCCAAAGTTGTGATTGTTGTGATTTATTGCATGCTTGCACAATCTTTGACTGTTTTTTTTTTTTCAAGATGGCATTTTGCCATTTTTGTGGACTTCAGCATACTTATTTCTTAGTCGTTTTAGATTAATATTGCGAATTATAACATAATGATCCACAGATGTCATAGAATTGAACTATATAGGAGACGTAAGCACAATATACCTTCTTTAAAAAGTTTTAGCATTTTTGGATTTGTACAACTCTATATGTAATCTATGTTTTGAATAATGTCATGTCATGTTATTGTCATGTAAATTACCATTTTCATGAGCACAAAAAAGATTTCAAAAATATACAAAAGTGCTGTAATATTATACTTCTACTTATTTAAAATACAATGTGAAAGCGACTCAATATTAATAATAAAGCCGTAATTAATTTTCTCATATTTCCCCCTGTATTGACTGTACCTCTATCAGATAAGGAGACTCACAGAGCAGGTTTTGTGCTGTGACTGTGGCTCTGTTTGAATACTGTGCTTCTCTTGCTGCACAGTAATACGTGGCAGTGTGCTCTTCTGTTATATTTGTAATAACCAAGAATCCCTTTTTTACATCGGCCTTCAGATCTCCTTCTAGTTTAAAGTTGTCCTTAAAAGGCTGCTCCACGCTGTCTTTGGTAAAGTCACTGTATCCATATCCGATGAGGTCTAGAGCAGTGTTATTAGATATTAAACGGTACCACAGCATCACTCTGTAGTCAGATCGGTTGTGTGAGCAGTCGAGACTGACTGTAGCACCAAGGTTAACAAATAAAGATGGAGGCTGATTGATAAGCACAGCCCAAGAAATACCTGCAAAACACAAACTGAAGTTATGCAATAGAAATGCAATAGTGTTGTTTTGGCCTTAGTCTGTTACCTGTGAGATAACATAAACATAACAGATGTATCATTTTTGTAAGGGGCTTTGGTGAAGACACTGACTGTGGTGAGTTATGAGAGAAGACTGATGGAGAGATTGAACTTGAGCTAAAACATGTAGGAGGAGGAAGTGATGACAAAATCATGTGATGCACAATAGGCTGTTAAAATAAAAGGTATTCAAGAGTGAAAGTATTCAATTTACTTTCATTTGAGCAAAGCTAGACTGACAAATGTAACAAATTTAAGTGCTGACTTCAAATTGTGGTTTTAATGTCTTTGTTTGCAACTTGTGCAATAGAAATATGCTTGCTAAAATGGCTGCAGTTTCCAACTCAGTTTCAATAAGAAAGAGCGCAGTGCTCAATACTCAATACTGATTTTTGATACAGCATTGAAAAAAACAATTTTTTTAAACACAAGATGCAAATATTTACACTGCAGTCATCTTCACCTTTTCAATATTATGATCATAACTGTTTACAATATAAGTTTTCAACAGAGAATAATTACAGTTTAATTTGACCATGTGGTCAAGGTGCATTTGAAAAAAAAATGTGTATGGGTATCTAGTCATAGATCCTATTACTTATACATATTTTGATGACGACACATAAGATAAGTCCTATGCAATTTAGTTAACAGCATTTTGAGATTTTGGGTTCCATTGGGTTACAATTGCCCAAAGAGTTTCACAGTACAAGTATTGGTGAGTAACATTAAAGTTAGCCACTACAACAGGTGCTGTGTGACGTAGGTTGACCGTGAGTGGCTTGGGGTTCAGTGAACAAGGTTAAAAACAAATCCAAACACAGACAGGTAGTTGTGGTCCACGGTTTACTTTTGTTTTTCAATTATTACAAAAAGTGCAAGTGCAAAAAGTGCAGGGTGCAAAATGTAAGCAGGCAGCAGTTTCCTCTCCAGCAGCAGAACCCAGACTGATCTTTGAAGGCGCCTTTTATGCTGGTCCTACTGATTGGCTAAAACCACTATGCTAAAACAGGGATGGTAAAACTTATCATTAGTGTAAAATCATAACCTAAACCTCCATAAAACAACCCAAAACCTAGATAACAATTAAAACCACCAACTATATACATAAAAACCCTAAAACCATTACACCAATTAAATGTTAAAACCCATAAACCAATAAAACACCTAACCTAAAACCCCTGTACAAAATAATGCACATGGTCCAGCCGGGAACCATAAAAGAGGGAGCTCGTTTCCGGGGGACCCTTTTCACACCTGGACAGAAGATAAAAAGGGGAGGTAAGTAAAAGCAGATCCACACCATTCATTAAAACACAATAAAATACACTATACACATCAACACTTAAAACATTCTAAAACAGATATTGCACCATATATTGCACTAAGTCAATTTAAAATGTAATTGGTAATTGTCTCCCTTTTCCTTCAGGGGCAAGCAGCTTCCAATTAAAGTGCTGTGCCTCAGGAATAAAAAATGGTAAAAGGAAAGACAATAAATATTTTTTAAAACCAATTATGTGCAATTTATTTTGTGATGTGCAAATATGTTAAAAGTGCTGTGTGCAAGGAAAGGTCAGTGTTTTAAAGTGCTCTAGTGAAGGGTGAAGATGCTAAGTGTGGTTCTGGGTAACAAACCAGCCTGTTTGTTACAGCTGTTTCTTATGCACAGGTTTTTGTCATCTTCTCATGTCTTCCCAAGTCACTGTGACATCCTGCTACACAGTATTATAGTCCATTCTGCTGATGATTTTCCATTTTCATCCCCAACACACTCATTTTGTCATAGTTGTCACTGTTGAAATCTCCCCTAATTTCAAAATGTGTTCTGTAGGGCCTCTCTATGGTGAATTTTTTGAAGTTGACACTGCCTATTTGCTTCAGAGTGTACTTCTGCTCGGTTGATGAAACCAAATACACTGTCTGAAATGTTTGAGTGCACTGGATCTTCACTTTTTGGTCAGAGATGATATTTGGTGAACTTTGATGAATGTCATAACAACAAATTATGAATAATTTTGGTACTGTTCAATTTTAGCAAAACTACAACTTACAAAAAAAAAAAAAATTAAACTGACAAAATAAGACTAAACCTGAAATACTAGAATTATCTGTTAATATGCTTTGACTAAAGTAGAAGCATATAAATTATATGCCATACTGTGGAACATTTCAAACAAAGCAATAACATCTCCAAGGTGACAAGTAGGTGGCGGACCCAGTGGAAAAGTTACATAGTGCAACTTTAAATGAACACAATCAAGACCCACCCAATGGCATTTTAGGCTTATAACTAGGAAATAAATATTATATTTAAATAATAATCATCAAATAAATAAATAGAAACAAACTAGAAATTGTTATTCTTAGAAAAGCACTTTACAATAAAGCATTCCCTGCATTAAAAAGCTAGTTTTATTCACCTATTAGATACAGTGGCCATTTTGTGTTGTTCAGCTGATACAATGAATAAGAAAAGCATTGTAAGGACACGGCAGCTGTGATGGGTGGGACTTATATATAATTTTTGATTCAAAACCACTAAACAGGTTTTTGTACAAAGAGAACATGATATGAATTCATTGTGCAGAGCTCGCTGCACAGTAATATACTGCACTGTGCTCGGGCTGCAGGTCCTTTATAAACATGGAAGCATTCTTGGCTTTTACCCCGCTCAGATCTCCAGTAAATGTAAAATGTTTCTTAAAAGATTCCTCATAGTCATTGTTTCTGTTGTATATATGTCCAATACGTTTGATTGACAGGTCCCCAGGTAACTTTTGGTACCAGTGCATCATATAATAATCTGTTTTCTCATGACTGCAGACTACTTGGATCTGCTCTCCTGGGTTTTTGAAGACATCTGATGGAGACTGGTGGATCTGAACAGAAGCAAGGCAAATGTGTAAAAGTGAAAACCAAATCAATAATGTTTGCATGTTGTCTGGTCTGAGACTTCACATCTACTGTGACAAGTCTGATTCATAGATGTTCTTTTTGATCAAATCCAGGTGGTGTGTAGATTCGGTCTGGTGTGTTCCTGAAGCTACAGCGCCACCTACAGGGAGTCATAAACACAAACCATCCACTACTCCAATGGAAAGTTGAAATGAACTTATCCTAATGACTGAAAGTGGGTTTAATTGGTTTTATTTATTATATAAGTGGTCATGTTCAAGAGTCATTATGAGTAAGAGCAATATGATATATTTTATTATTTTGTTAAATTTTGTTAAGTTTTGGTTCATTTGAATTGTAAACATTTAAACAGAATACATCTCAGCAACAAAGGCAATAAAATAATAGAGAGCTCTTAGGACCATATAGTTTAGAAATATTATTTCCAGGATGAACTGAATAGAAACATGATATTTGAGGAGAGCACAACCAAACTATTTAAAAGATACAAGATTCTGTTTGTCTACTAGTGCTCATAAGGTAATTACATAAGTTGCAGATTGTAATATAGAACTAAATATTTATGTTGTATTGTCTCAACAAGCAGCTGCACTTTTTTATTAAAACAATTTGCACATTAAAAGTGGGTGTGGCCAACTGTATCTAACTGTTGAGTCAGTGTGGTTTTTGTATTGAGAAATGGGGGCTTTTATCACTGTGAAAGAAGCTGCACAGTAGTAGATCGCACTGCTCGGCTCCTCTATGATTAAAGTTGAATTTTTACCCTTGTTCGCATCTCCTCTAATTTGTACTTTAGCCCCAGACTCCGGAGATGGTGAAGTGCCCAAGATGTAACCCAGAAACTGCAGCTGTCCATCATTCAGCTGTTTGTACCAGAGTATTCGATCATAGTTGACGATGTCATGTGAACATTGGATTTCAGCGCTGGTTCCTTTTGTGTTATATATGTCCTTTGGAAATTGGTGGACCTGGTCATTCAGAGAAGAACCTACAAAAACAATCATATTTTGATTAGAAAGCTAAAGAAATGCTTAGTCAAAATATAACATTTTCTTTTTTATGTTACCTGAAACTAGATAAATATTAAAAGATAAAATCAATGTAATGAACATCTTGCTGATGATGAAATGGGGAATCAGTTTGGAGACATTATAAGAACACCAAGTAATCGTCCAATTAGGAAAGAACGTGTAAGTAGTGGGTGTGGCCAAATGTGTCAAGTTCTTGATTTTACATTGTAGAGCATCACATTGTACAGATATATGCATTGATATATACAATTGTTATGTATATTAGATATGATTATGATGATATGATTTTATATTATAGATATTACTGTGAATGTTTCCTTTTTTCTGTCTGTGCGTAGTCCTCATAAGTGAATTGTACAGGTTGCAAATAGGAATGCTAAAACTATTAATTCCTATTATGTATTTTATACCATCCACACAAATATCTGCACTGTTTTATTTTTTAAATCACTCAACATAATCAATAGTAGACATGGCCAACTGAAATGTGTCCAACTGTTGAATCAATGTGTTTTTTGTTTTGAGGAATGGGGGCTTGTAAACCAGCTCAGATCTGTACTTTGGCTCCAGATTCTAGATATACTGCACCAAACAGCATGTATGTTATTCAGCTGTTTGTACCAGAGGATTCGGTTGTAGTTGGGAGCACTGAATTTCAGCAGTGGTTCTCTTTATGTTGTACATGTCCTTTGGAGTGTGGTGGGCCTGGTCATTTAGAGCAGAGCCTAAAAAACAAACCATAACTGAATAGAAAGTTGAAAAATTACCCCATCCAAACTGTTGAATGTTTTGTTTTCATTCCCTCTAGAATAACACTGAAAATAATAAGAAATATATGGCCGTCTTGCTGTTTTTATGATCAAATGGGGAAGCTGTTGAGACACATGTAAGTACGCTAAGGAATCGTCCAATCAGAAAGGAGGATGTGTTTAGTGGATGTGGTCTTGATTTATGCTTGTATTGGTATATAATTGGTAATGTATTTCAATATGAATAACTACACATTGGGCTTTAGACAAAACATTAACATTGCATTTTCAGTCTCATTTAAAGTTTGCTTTGTGTAGAGTCTCCTGGATTTCAGTAATATTATTGAAATTGTTCAATCTAATGCCTCAAAAACAAAGGCTATGTGTCTTAGGTGACCTCACCTGACTTTCCCTTGTGCAGAGAATCTTGTGTGGTCTGATAACTTGTGTTGTGGTTTCCACAGGTGTTCTGCAATATAAACGTGCTTGAAAGGAGTTTGTTTTTGATACGTGACGAGGGAAACTGTACCACTGTGCATACTGGGAGCACAATAATATACTCCACTGTCTTCTACTGTGAGATTTGAAATGTAGAGACTTGTATCTGAGCGACCATCTCCGTTAATGTTGATTTTGTCTTTAACAGCATCTTCAACGTTAGGAACGTTACTATATGCATAACCCAAAAGTGTCATGGCTCCATTTTTCTCCTGTTTGTACCAAAATGTCCGATCGTAGCTGGATATACTGTGAGAACATTTGAGCTCATTGTTGATTGTTTCGTTAGAGAACTTTATCAGATCTTGAGGAGATTGGGAAATTTGGTCATAAAGGGATTTCCCTGTAAGAAAAAAAGAAGATCATTTAAAAATTCAAAAAATATAAATATGCTTTAAGAATTCTTACCATTTATTCCATGAATTAACATAAGAATTATAAGGATCATATTTACAAGGCTACAGTGAATAGTTCTATGCATAGAAAAAGACTGATGTAATTGCATTTGGAGGTGTCTCTTAGTAGCTGTATGCGTGTTTGTTAAAAGGCAAGTCATTTGGTAACAACTGTCTCCCCCTAATGGTGTGATAGAGCACGATTCACCAGGTCTTTATCGTACTTAAGGTGCATTGTGTAACTGCCATGGCAACAGAGTGGTTGGCTGCTTTTGTGGCTACCAGGCTCACACACTCAGGAGTTTTTGAAAACGTTTTTTGTTTGTTTTTTAGCTCAGTTTTTTCCCCATATCATAGGATTTTAATCAACTGGACTTTGTAAAAGTCACAGTTTTTTTTTTTCATAACCGTGGAGACTGTGCAAGAGGCTAGCTGAGGGGCTAGCTATGGACATTTGAGATGCAGAAAATGTGGCAGAAGACCTTCCAGAGGAAATACATTTCATTGTCAACTGAAGCAACAGAGTAAGGCCTTTGCTGAGAGAGGGCTTGCCTCACCACAGATCTGATCTGTAACTTGGCCTAGTGGTACTATCTGCTGGATGTATAAGTTTAATGCTTTAATTTGGAATCAGACAAAGCAATTACATCCATGGAGACAAGCAAGTGGCAGACCCTACACCAGAAATGTTCCATAGTGCACCTTTAACATTACAAATCTCATTGTTGATGACAATTGTCCAATAACCCACTTTTTTATTTTTTATTTTGATTGTATTCTTTTCAAACCAGAACACTTTGTGCAAGTAAATTGTGTTGTGTTTTATTTCTGCAGGTGTTCTCAAATGCACACATGCTTGGATGAAATGTTTTTTTTTATAGGGGACGAGTTGAACTATACCACTGTGCATACTGGGAGTACAATAATACACCCCGCTGTCTTCTACTGTGAGATCTGAAATGGAGAGACTTGAATCTGAACGACCATCTGCACCCATATCAAGGTTGTCTTTAAATTTAAGATTCATATAAAGAAGTTTAATAGCACCATTTTTCTTCTGCTTGTACCAGAATATGTGATTGTAGCCGGGTATAGTGTGGGAACATTTGAGCTCATTGTTGATTGATTCATTAGAAAACTTTATTAGGTCTTGAGGAGATTGGAAAATTAGGTCGTCAAGGGATTTTCCTGTAAGAAAGAAGAGATAATCAAAAGACTACATAAAAATTACAAATATATGTTTTGCAATACTTACCGTTTATGCCATGAATTAACATAAGAATTAGAAAAATCATATTTATGAAGCTACAATGAATGAAGTCTGTGGATAGAAAAGGACTGATGTAATTGCATTTGGAGGTGGCTCTTAGTAACTGTGGGTGTGTTTGTTGAGAGGCAAGTCATTTCTTAACTGTCTCCCTCTCATGGTGTGATGATAATCCACCAAATCACCAAAAATTTATAGACTGAACATTAGAAATCTACTATATCTAAATTGTTTTGTGATCCTGTTTGGACACCTTTTCAGCCCACTTTCATCTGGTGAATTTTGAATGCAACCTTTTAAGACCAAAAGAGTGGAAGATATGATTCTGTAAAAAAAAAAAAAAAATATATATATATATATATATATATATATATATATATATATATATATATATATATATATAATATTAATTAAACACTAATTTCAAAAATACATAGATTTTCATACATGTACTTATTTACTTATAAGTAAGATAATGTAATTTTCATATTCCCTTTGTATTTACAGTAACTTATAACTATTGTATTAGACTGAGCTGGGGTGTAGATAGATGCTGGCTTCATAGTCTACATAGTTTTTATCTGACTTGAGTAGTGGTTTTTCTGTTTGCAGGTGGCTCTTTGGTCTGATATTTCACATGGAGGGTTTTTGTGAGAGCTTTATAAGGCTCTGCAGCACTGTGGCGTCTGGCTGCACAGAAATACACAGCGCTGTCTTCTACTGTCAGGTTCCCTATAGAGAGAGTGGAATCGGAACGTCCATTTCCACTTAACTGAATGCGATCTTTGACATCGTCTTCGGGGTAGGCATTTTTCAAGTTCAGGAAGCCGAGGAATTTGAATGTAGCGCTTTTGTCCTGTTTGTACCAGAGGATCTGTTCAAATGTTGAATCTTTATGAGAGCATTTCATTTCGTTGGTTGATTCACCGGCAAATTTCACAACCTCAAGAGGAGTTTGTGAGACATTTTGTGCAGCTTTGGGGGGAAAATTACTTATTATAACAAGAATTCAATAGATTTCTGAATCTATTATGTTTGTGTAGTATTTGCTTACCTTTAGTTCCACAAATGTAAAAACTAAACCAAATAAAAAGTATTAGCATCTTGTGTCAGATTTCTGTCTCTGAAGCCTTGCTGTCTGAACTTCAATAAAGTTTAGTGTAATGGGGGCTTGTAGGAAGAGCTCTACTTAATACTCATACATATACTGTATTTTAGCTCCTCCTGGTGGTAGGATTGACAACTCCAGTTACAGTAGGAATGACATTTTGTTCTCTATGCATCTCTTTGCACCAGGTCATCAAAGGAAGATAAGATCAAATAAGAGAACCTTTATTTGTCCCCCACTGGGAAAATTCCATTGTTGCAACATACAGTTTAGGAACAGCAAGAGAATAAAATGAGGCATTCAATCATTCAATCATTATAATAAATATTAGAAACCAACACTGTCCAAGTATAATAAAATAAAGTGCTACAGCAGTATTGTTCACAGTAAGTGACTTTGACTGTTTTCCTGCACAATGCAGCATGAATGGGATCCACAGCAGGTAAAGTGTATTATACAGGAGATAATTCACAGTATGTTGCAATGTTATTTCTGATACTGTGTGGATGACACATGTACAGGGTTAGCACTGTTCATTGTACTGTCTGACAGCAGCAAGATGCAAAGACCTGTAGAACCTCTTCTTCACAGAGTGAGGGTGGATCAGTCTCTTACTAAAGCTGCTCTCCAGAGTGCGCAGGGTGTCCTGCAGGAGGTGACACATGCTCCATCATCGATGTGAGTTAAGGCAGGACCCTCCTGTCCCCATGCCCTGCACTGATTCCAGAGGACAGGCCAGGAAGGAGTTGGTCTGCAGTTTAAAGGGTGAAGAGTGAAGAGGAAGGACTGTCCCCTGGGGTCCCCCACATTGCAGGTCAGGAGGTCAGACATACAGTCCCGTGTTCTCACTAACTGTAAGGTAGTCCAGTATCCCTTCTAGTTAACACTGCACAGGCCACAGATGTATAATGTTGTGGTCAGCTCTTCTCAGGGGATGAACGAGGGATAAAGAATACACATAGTGTTTTATTATCATAGTATTTATGTGATGGTAACAACCATTCACATGGAGATATGTGTAAGTAATTATATAAATCAATTACTGAATGATATCAGATATTGAATTTATAGTCACATAAGAAAAAAGCACATAGACTATTGCCAAATCATGATACCATGATTTTTTCAATGATAGTCCTATTACCCACATCTTTTACATATGTAGCCTCCTAGGACCTGGCGTCCACATATGTGCACATTTTCACATTTTGAGTTCAGGCAGATAAGAAATTGTTTTAACAAATCATTATTCAATTATGACTTTATTGTGTTCCATCAAAATGATTTAAACAAATGAATGTTTTATCATTCAAATGTGGACATATAAATATAAAAATATAAAAGTATTATAAATAAATAAATAAATATAAAATTATCTGTTTTTGCACTCATCAGGTCCCAAACAGCCCAAATAATAAAGAGAAATCAATAAAGCATGCCATGCAAGAGTTCCAGTCCTAGGAGGTTAAGTTTCAAAAAGTTCCTTGTTATTGTCTCCTTTTCACACTGTCTATTCACCTCTAATGTAGTTTGAAGCCCAGACTGTCAAAGTCACTGTTCAGTTGGCACATAAATGTAATATCTTCCAGATGTTTGTTCTGAAATTGGTTTTGAGATGAGGTATGGACAGGGTCATGCATGGGTGTGACAGGTGTGGAAGGTGCACACAGCAACACAATGTATTTGTATGAGATGTTTTGGTTTGAAAAGAATACAGTCAAACTTCACCAGAGAAGAGTGGGTAAAACTGGGCTATTGGACAATTGTCATCCACAATGAGATTTGTGATGTTAAAGGTGTACCGTGGAACATTTTTGGTGCAGGGTTTGCCACTTGCTTGTCTCCAAGGAAGTAATTACTTTGTCTGGTTCCAAAGTAAGGCATTAAATGTATACATCCAGCAGATGGAACCACAAGGACATGTTACAGGTCAGATTTGAGATGAGACTTATAGTAAGAATGTTTTCCAGGGCATTTTGAGCTATAAAAACTACTATCACTGAATAAGCGCATGATACTGTAGATAAGTTTGTGGCATACTGTAGAACATTTCATGCAAAGCAATAACATCTCCATGGAGACAAGCAGGTGGTGTACCCCAACAGAAAAGAGAGAGAGATTTTACTGATCCAGAAGGAAATTCAAGTTTTGCTACAGCAACATTTACACTGCACTTCTCTGTCACCTTTGTATCTCAGTCAAAGGTCTCAGTGCAGTATAACAAGAGTCAGGGAGGGTCAGCAAATTTGTGTCAGGGCAGTTTGAGGAAAGGAAGAACCAAAAGTGTCTCTCCTCTGTGTCATGCAGCATCACAGCAGCTTCCGGAGGGAGCCAGGTGAACACAACAGAAAAGACCTCACTCTCACTCCTCTCTGTTGTTTTATTTGATTAAATAGTTAATTCCCTTAAAGTATTTCCTCTGGAAGGTCTCAGAGAAATTCCTTTTGAAGGTCTTCTGACGCGTTTCCTGCTACATATGGTATAAAAAGCTTGTAGCATCTCAAAAGCTCATAGCTAGCTTTTTAGTTAGCCTCGTACGTGGTCTCCATGGATATGGGAAAAACAGAATGGTAATTTCATACAATCCAAGAGTCCCTCACTTGTGTGCTTGGAACTGCACATGTTGCATTTTTTGGTTAAAATCCCATGACATGATGATAAAAATTGAGCTTAAACAAACAAAAGATCTAAAAATTCCTGAGTGTGTGAGCCTGGTAGCCACAAAAGCAGCCAACCACTCTGTTGCCATGACAGTTACACAATGCACCTTAAGTATGATAAAGACCTGGTGAATCGTGCTCTATCACACCACAAGAGGGAGACAGTTGTTACCAGATGACTTGCCTTTTAACAAACACTCCCACAGTTACTAAATGAGACACCTCCAAATGCAATTACATCAGTCTTTTTCTATGCATAGAACTATTCACTGTAGCCTTGTAAATATGATCCTTATAATTCTTATGTTAATTCATGGAATAAATGGTAAGAATTCTTAAAGCATATTTATATTTTTTGAATTTTTAGATGAACTTCTTTTTTCTTACAGGGAAATCCCTTTATGACCAAATTTCCCAATCTCCTCAAGACCTGATAAAGTTCTCTAACGAAACAATCAACAATGAGCTCAAATGTTCTCACAGTATATCCAGCTACGATCGGACATTTTGGTACAAACAGGAGAAAAATGGAGCCATGACACTTCTGGGTTTTATGAATCTTAACTTTCCTAACGTTGAAGATGCTGTTAAAGACAAAATCAACATTAACGGAGATGGTCGTTCAAATACAAGTGTCTCCATCTCAGATCTCACAGTAGAAGACAGTGGAGTATATTATTGTGCTCCCAGTATGCACAGTGGTACATTTTCCCTAGTCTCATATCAAAAACAAACTCCTTTCAAGCACATTTGTATTGGAAAACACCTGCGCAAATGAACCACAAGGCAATTTATCAGCCCACACAAGATCCTCTGCACAAGGAAAAGTCAGGTGAGGTCACATAAGACACATATGTAGCCCCTGTTTTGAGGCATTAAAGCAGTTTCTTGGGCTTTGACAAACTTTATTGACCCAAAAGGAAAATTACTTGGCCACAGCAGCTCACAGGGGCTTTCAGTGATCTTACTGAAATACAGGACTGATGATTAAAATGTTTTATCTACAACCCAAGATACAATTACTCATATTAACTTAGATTATTATTTATATACCAATACAAGCATAAATCAAGACCACACCCACTAAACACATCCTCCTTTCTGATTGGACGATTCCTTAGCGTACTTACATGTGTCTCAACAGCTTCCCCATTTAATCATAAAAACAGCAAGATGGGCATTATATTTCTTATTATTTTCAGTGTTATCCTAGATTCAGGTATTGAAAACAAAACATTCAACATTAATTTTGGGTGTGGTAATTTTTCAACTTTCTATTCAGTTATGATTTGTTTTGTAGTTTCTTCTCTGAATGATCAGGTCCACCAGACGCCAAAGGACATATACAACACAAAGGGAACCAGCGCTGAAATCCAATGTTCCCATGACATCAACAACTACAATCAAATCCTTTGGTACAAACAGCTGAATGATGGACAGCTGCAGTTGTTGGGTTACATCTTGGCAACTTCACCATCTCCAGAGTCTGGAGCTAAAGTACAAATTAGAGGAGATGCAAGCAAAGGCAAAACTTCAACTTTAACCATAGAGGAGCCGAGCAGTGCGATCTACTACTGTGCAGCTTCTCTCACAGTGGTAAAAGGCCCCATTTCTCAATACAAAAACCACATTGACTCAACAGTTAGATACACTTCAGTTGGCCATGCCCACTTTTAATGTGCAAATTGTTTTAATAAAACAGTGCAGCTGCTTGTTGAGACAATACAGCAACATAAATATTTAGTTTTATAATATTACAATCTGCAACTTATGTAATTACCTTATGAACACTAGTAGACAAACAAAATAATGCAACTTTCAGATTTTAAGATTTATTCCAAGTCACTGCAACTTAAACAAACCAAAACAGACAAAAACATATCAAAACTACAATAAAAAATATCTTGTTTGTCTTTTTCAAACAGAGTCGTGAACATGACCACTTATATAATAAATAAAAGGAACCCAGTTTCAGTCATTAGGATAAGTTCATTACAACTTTCCTTTAGAGTAGTGGGTGGTTTGTGTTTATGACTCCCTGTAGGTGGCGCTGTAGCTTCAGGAACACACCAGACTGAATCTACACACCACCTGGATTTGATCAAAAAGAACATCTATGAATCAGACTTGTCACAGTAGATGTGAAGTCTCAGACCAGACAACATGCAAACATTATTGATTTGGTTTTCACTTTTACACATTTGCCTTGCGTCTGTTCAAATCCACCAGTCTCCATCAGATGTCTTCAAAAACCCAGGAGAGCAGATCCAAGTAGTCTGCAGTCATGAGAAAACGGATTATTATATGATGCACTGGTACCAAAAGTTACCTGGCGACCTGTCAATCAAACGTATTGGACATATCTACCATGGAAGCAATGATTATGAGGAATCTTTTAAGAAACATTTTATATTTACTGGAGATTTAAGCGGAGAAAAAGCCAAGAATGCTTCCATGTTAATAAAGGACCTACAGCCTGAGCACAGTGCAGTATATTACTGTGCAGCGAGCTCTGCACAATGAATTCATATCATGTCCTCCTTGTACAAAAACTGGTTTAATGGTTTTGAATCATGTCCTTACAATGCTTTTCTTATTCATTGTAAATGATGTAAGATTCAGCTGAGCAACACAAAATGGCCACTATGAAATGTCTTGGACTTATTCTATATCTAACAAGTGAACATAAATCTGTAGAATGCAAAGTCTCTACAAAGGTAAATCAGGAACTGGACACATTTGACCACACCCACTACATACACGCTCTGTCCTGATTGGAGGATTACTTGGCATTTTTACAATGTCTCCAAACTGATTCCCCATTTGATCATAAAAACAGCAAAATGTTCATTACATTGATTTTATCTTTTCATATTAATCTTGTTTCAGGTAACATAAATTCCAAAACAACACACTGTACAATTTGTTCAACTTTCTACTTAACAATATTTTTTGTAGGTTCTTCTCTGAATGACCAGGTCCACCAACTTCCAAAGGACATATACAACACAAAAGGAACCATCGCTGAAATCCAATGTTCCCATGACATCGACAGCTACAACCGAATCTTGTGGTACAAACAGCTGAATGATGGACAGCTGCAGTTGCTGGGTTACATCTTGGCAACTACAGCATATCCAGAGTCTGGGGCTAAAGTACAAATTAGAGGAGATGCAAACAAGGGCAAAACTTCAATTTTAACCATAGAGGAGCCGAGCAGTGCAATCTACTACTGTGCAGCTTCTCTCACAGTGATAAAAGGCCCCATTTCTCAATACAAAAACCACATTGCCTCAGCAGTTAGATACATTTCAGTTGGCCATGCCCACTTTTAATGTGCGAAATGTTTTAATAAAACAGTGCAGCTGCTTGTTGAGACAATACAGCAACATAAATATTTAGTTTTATAATATTACAATCTGCAACTTATGTAATTACCTTATGAGCACTAGTAGACAAACAAAATAATGCAACTTTCAGATTTTAAGATTTATTCCAAGTCACTGCAACTTAAACAAACCAAAACAGACAAAAACATATCAAAACTACAATAAAAAATATGTTGTTTGTCTTTTTCAAACAGAGTCGTGAACATGACAACTTATATAATAAATAAAAGGAACCCAATTTCAGTCATTAGGATAAGTTCATTACAACTTTCCATTGGAGTAGTGGATGGTTTGTGTTTATAACTCCCTGTAGGTGGCGCTGTAGCTTCAGGAACACACCAGACTGAATCTACACACCACCTGGATTTGATCGACCATGGAAACAATGACTATGAGGAATCTTTTAAGAAACATTTTACATTTACTGGAGATCTGAGTGGAGAAAAAGCCAAGAATGCTTCTATGTTTATAAAGGACCTGCAGCCCGAGCACAGTGCAGTATATTACTGTGCAGCGAGCTCTGCACAAAGAATTCATATCATGTCCTCTGTGTACAAAAACCTATTTAGTGGTTTTGAATCAGAAACGACATTAGCCCCGCCCATCACAGCTGCCATGTCCTTACAATGCTTTTTTAAATTCATTGTAAGTGATGTAAGATTCAGCTGAACAACACAACATGGCCACTATGAAATGTCTTGGACTTATTCTATATCTAACAGGTGAACATAAATCTGCAGAATGCAAAGTCTCTACAAAGGTAAATCAGGAACTGGACACATTTGTCCACACCCACGACATACACACTCTTTCCTGATTGGACGATTACTTGGTGGTTCTTACAATGTCTCCAAACTGATTCCCCATTTGATCATAAAAACAGCAAGATGTTCATCACATTGATTTTATCTTTTCATATTAATCTTGTTTCAGGTAATATAAATTCCATAACAACACACTGTACAATTTGTTCAACTTTCTACTTAACAATATTTTTTGTAGGTTCTTCTCTGAATGACCAGGTCCAACAGACTCCAAAGGACATATACAACACAAAGGGAACCATCGCTGAAATCCAATGTTCCCATGACATCGACAGCTACAACCGAATCTTTTGGTACAAACAGCTGAATGATGGACAGCTGCAGTTGTTGGGTTACATCTGGGACACTTCACCATCTGCAGAGTCTGGGGCTAAAGTACAAATTAGAGGAGATGCAAACAAGGGTGAAACTTCAACTTTAACCATAGAGGAGCCAAGCAGTGCGATCTACTACTGTGCAGCTTCTCTCACAGTGGTAAAAGTCCCCATTTCTCAATACAAAAACCACCACATTGACTCAACAGTTACATACATTTCAGTTGGCCATGCCCAGTTTTAATGTGTTTAATAAAACAGTGCAGCTGCTTGTTGAGACAATACAGCAACATAAATATTTAGTTTTATAATATTACAATCTGCAACTTATGTAATTACCTTATGAACACTAGTAGAAAAAATGATTAAACTTTAAGGTAGTAAGATCTATTCTGTTTTAAGTCTTTGCAACTTAAATAAACCAAAACAGACAAAAACATATCAAAACTACAATAAAAAATATCTTGTTTGTCTTTTTCAAATAGAGTCGTGAACATGACCACTTATATAATAAATAAAAGGAACCCAATTTCAGTCATTAGGATAAGTTCATTACAACTTTCCATTGGAGTAGTGGATGGTTTGTGTTTATAACTCCCTGTAGGTGGCGCTGTAGCTTCAGGAACACACCAGACTGAATCTACACACCACCTGGATTTGATCAAAAAGAACATCTATGAATCAGACTTGTCACAGTAGATGTGAAGTCTCAGACCAGACAACATGCAAACATTATTGATTTGGTTTTCACTTTTACACATTTGCCTTGCTTCTGTTCAAATCCACCAGTCTCCATCAGATGTCTTCAAAAACCCAGGAGAGCAGATCCAAGTAGTCTGCAGTCATGAGAAAATGGATTATTATATGATGCACTGGTACCAAAAGTTACCTGGCGACCTGTCAATCAAACGTATTGGACATATCTACCATGGAAGCAATGACTATGAGGAATCTTATAAGAAACATTTTACATTTACTGGAGATTTGAGCGCGGGAAAAGCCAAAAATGCTTCCATGTTTATAAAGGACCTACAGCCCGAGCACAGTGCAGTATATTACTGTGCAGCGAGCCCTGCACAATGAATTCATATCATGTTCTCCTTGTACAAAAACCTGTTTAATGGTTTTGAATCATGTCCTTACAATGCTTTTCTTATTCATTGTAAGTGATGTAAAATTCAGCTGAACAACACAACATGGCCACTATGAAATGTTTTGGACTTATTCTATATCTAACAGGTGAACATAAATCTGCAGAATGCAAAGTCTCTACAAAGGTAAATCAGGAACTAGACACATTTGACCACACCCACTACATACACACTCTTTCCTGATTGGACGATTACTTGGTGGTTCTTACAATGTCTCCAAACTGATTCCCCATTTGATCATAAAAACAGCAAGATGTTCGTTACATTGATTTTATCTTTTCATATTAATTTTGTTTCAGGTAATATAAATTCCATAACAACGCACTGTACAATTTGTTCAACTTTCTACTTAACTATATTTTTTGTAGGTTCTTCTCTGAATGACCAGGTCCACCAGACTCCAAAGGACATATACAACACAAAAGGAACCATCGCTGAAATCCAGTGTTCCCATGACATCGATAACTACAACCAAATCTTTTGGTACAAACAGCTGAATGATGGACAGCTGCAGTTGTTGGGTTACATCTATGGCACTTCAGGATCTCCAGAGTCTGGGGCTAAAGTACAAATTAGAGGAGAAGCAAACAAGGGCAAAATTTCAACTTTAACCATAGAGGAGCCGAGCAGTGCAATCTACTACTGTGCAGCTTCTTTCACAGTGATAAAAGCCCCCATTTCTCAATACAAAAACCACATTGCCTCAAAAGTTAGATACATTTCAGTTGGCCACACCCACTTTTAATGTGCAAATTGTTTTAATAAAACAGTGCAGCTGCTTGTTGAGACAATACAGCAACATAAATATTTAGTTTTATAATATTACAATCTGCAGCTTATGTAATTACCTTATGAGCACTAGTAGAAAAACAAAATCATGCAACTTTCAGATTTTAAAATTTATTCCAAGTCACTGCAACTTAAACAAACCAAAACAGACAAAAACATATCAAAACTGCAATAAAAAACATCGTGTTTGTCTTTTTCAAACAGAGTCGTGAACATGACAACTTATATAATAAATAAAAGGAACCCAATTTCAGTCATTAG